CCAAGCTTGATCCTCTCGAAATAATATATGCTTTTCTTGAAGCAGAAGGCCTTGATCCAGCTGAGTTCGATTACAACTGTCTTATGGATGCTCCACCCGATGTCCCTTCTAAGAAAATAAAATCCAAGTCTAAGAGGAACCCTACCACTCAGAAAGTCCTGAAGATTTCTGAAGTATCTTCCACCAAGAACCAAACCTCAATCTCTGAAACTCCAAGTAAGTCTTTTGCATCTAAAATTCCTGCTCCCTCTGTTGAAACTGCTAAATGTATCCTTCCTACTCCAACTCCACAAACTTCAACCACAATGACAACTTCATCCACTCCATCATCCTTTATATACACTTCCACTCCCACCAAAAAATCCAAATTACCTCAATTACAAATTGAACAATCTTCACCTCAACCACAACAACAACCTCAAACTGCTCCTGAAACTCAATCACAATCATCACCCCTTCTATCCATTGTTTAATACATTCTTTCTACCATACCAACACCCTTTATGTTTCATTCACCACCAACCTCTTTACCCACTCAAACCCTAGAAGTTTCCTCTCCTTAAATCACCTTAGCCATTCTTGAAGGCACCAACTTTTCAGATCTTTCTTACCACGGTCCCATAAATCAAGCGGGATCTGCTGAAGCTCACTCTGATTCTGAAGCCACTCACTCTATAGAAGCTCCATCCACTCAATCTCAATCCACTTCTCCAAATAGTCTAGAAGAACTGCTCTCCAAGCTCTCCGCCAAAGCCATACAGAAACTGATAAAACTTCATGAAGACTCTAGCTCAAGTCTTAACACAGATGAAGTTAAATGTGAGCATGGAGTTATGCGAGAATAGGCTAATCTCCAAAATCTACTTTCCCAACTTACCAAGAGAGCCTTAGCAAAAACTCCTTAAACATTCTCTTATTTTTAGTCTTATCTCTTTTCTTTCCTTGTACCTTCTACCTCTTCAAATGAAAATTTCATTTTTTTTTTATTATGACAAAAAGGGATAGTAACAGATGATTTTGATATATACCTATTATCGCATAACTCTATGCTCACATTTTATCTAATCTTTTCTGGCAAAAAGTGTTTCTAAAAATATTGCAGGAAAAGCGAAGAAATCTCAAACCCAAATTATGTAAAAGAGAAATCACTCTCAGAAAGAAGCAAATATTAGACTCGGGGGGAGTCTGTAAACTTAAGGGAGTTCTCTAAATATAATTTCAAATCATAATATACTATTTTGTCATCATCAAAAAGAGGGAGAATGTTAGAGCAAGAAAGCTTCTAACTATTTAAAAGTTATGATGGTAACAATTATATGTGAAATTATATGTGTGCATGTCAAGTATTATAAAATGCAGGTGTATCTAATGAAACATCAAAAGTTTCACTCGGACCAAATCATAAGCATTCTAGCAAAGTTAAATAAAGCTCAACATCAAAAGCAACTTTGACCAAAAACTCTAGAAACTATCAGTATATAAAATCATGTGATCAGAAACACATTCAAAAGATACATTCAAAAGTATCAGATAAGAAATCACTATTCTCGAGGCAAACACAATGATTACTCATCTCAAATAGTATCTTGGAAACATGGAAAGAAGTAAACACGCCCTCCAAAAGTAAAAATCATTATATCTATGAGGAACGTGTATTGAGGAATGGTCTCAACGTGCCTAGCTAGCCCAAGGACACTTTTGATAATGGCTATAAAAGGATCTCCACACTGTTTGAAAGATACAAAAACAACAATAAAAAAAATCGTGCTACAAAACATTTCACACACACGCTCAAATTCTCAATCAGTTACAAAATTCGTTTACACTGAGTTGTTGCTCAAAAGTGTAACTTCATTAGATAGAAAATTTAGTGTTTATCAGGTTTATATAAGCATATTTTTGTAAACACAAAACACTTTTCTACGTGTAAGTTTGTATATTTCCTCAAGTGACTTTCTGGTCTGTATACTTGAGAGGGATTTCTAGACTCTTAGAGGTTATTGTGTAATCTTTTGAGATTAGTGAATTAAGTCCATGTTGAAGGCGAAATCACCTTGGCAGGTGGACAAGAGGTAGCCTTAGTTTTAAGGTGAACTCGTATAAAAATAATTGTGTTATTTTTATTTGGTTTTCGTTTACAATAACTACTTATCATTGTGTGCTAGTAATAAAACAAATTTTTTCTAAAAGAAATTTTAGAAAACCCAATTCAACCTCCTTACTTGTGTTTTCTCTAACCTTCAAAGCCATGATCCAAGTCAACTAGAAATCAAACCAAAAATAGATGATAAAATCAATTAAGTTGAAATCAAAATGATTTAAAAAATATAAAATAAAATTAAAATTCAAATGATGCACTAAAACACCAAATAAATGTTCAAGAAAATTATGGAAGGTCCGAAAAACTCCAAGGATCAAGAACTCAAAAGTTTGGATCCAAAAATGTTTGAAAATGATAAAGAAAAAAATGTTTAAAATCAATTAAAATATTTAAAAAAATAGCAAAAAATGTTTAAAAAAACATTTTTAAATTATGAAAAAATCACAAGAAGTAGAAAACATTTTTTGGAAATTATAGAAAAATTTGGAGTGAAAAATGATTTAGGAGCTATTTTTAATGAATTTTTGAAGAAAAGGAAAATAAAAAAATAAATTAAAATAAAATAAAAGATGAATATAATGGATAGTTGGGGTGGAGCGCTCTGATTGGCTAGAGAATTTGAATTTCCCACCATAGCGCGTATTCACTTCATCTCCAATCTTCGTCCAATTGATTTTTGCATAATCATGGACTAGTGGTTTTAAGTTTAAACAATGCACGTTTTAGCTTCACCAAACATCACTGTCCATGTCTCTTTGTTTCAGATCAATTTATTTGATCTGAGCAAAGAGAATTTACAGAAAAAATACAGAAAACCTAACAAGCTTCAAAGTAAATTTAAACAATAAATTCTAGTGGAGTTAGGGCTTTTGCTTAGTGAAGCGAGACAAAGAAGATGGCAACTCGTTTGTGTGAAATAGAAACTCGTATCTACCTTTCCCAGGTAAGCTTCCGAGGTCTGAAAATAGAGGAATTGATTTGGTGCTCAGAGGTGACAACAAGCTTCTGTAATGCTTCAGGTAGCTTCAGATGATGTCGATAGAGGATTCTGGGTGGAGATTTGAGGTTGAAACAAAGAGAAAATGAGAAACCAACTTCTGGTTTTTTAGAGGTATCGAGTTCTATGGAGGCAGAGTTTCTTTGGCTCTTGAATCTTGAGAATAAGAGCAGAAACTTGATCTATTTATAGGAGAATGAATGAGCTCATCATACGTGTGAATTTCATATCCCAAATGTGTGAATGAAGTTGGTAATTTTCTAGATCCAAGTGTGTGGAGAAATGGCATAGAATGTGTGACTTGTTGCTCATTTCAGGTCTTTTACATGGTTCTCAACGCGTTTCATCATCACAAAGAAGTTTGCACATGTGCCAAGTGGTCCCATTTGAGTTTTAGGTCATTTCTAATTATAGGTCCTTCATGCATAAAACAGAACTACAATATCATGTTCATGCTTGGGTCAAATGAAATCTCCTCGTGTGTTTTGTGATTTTCCTTGAGCAAAATGATCCTTACATGGAAAAGAATAAGATGCAAAAAAAAACTAGACCAAAGGACACTTGAGCTGAAAATGGCAAGCTTGTGAAGTTGAGGTTTTGACACTGAATTACATATTAGACATTGTATAAACCATGTCATGGACCTTATTTTGTGCACATGTGGCCTTGAACCTGTCATACCCCATTTACCCCTAATTTTTTCATTCATAACATATGCATTTACATAATAAATCGTTCATTCATTTCAGATCTTAAAACATGAGATCAAAAGGCTCTTGGCACTAGGTTTTTTCCTATGGGTTGAGTTTGTTACCTTCCTCATGTTGATTCAACTGGTTCTCTTATCATTCTTGGTATAAAACTAAGGTTTTGGATTTATAAGCATCATGGGTATTTTCCTTGACAATATTCATCAAGATACAAAGTTTTCTTCGTCAGAATTTTCTTCAAAGAAAAAAAGCATTCGGGTTTCTCCTATCTTACTTGAGCATTGATAATGATTCTTCAACAAAGTTCATCGTGCTAGGGTTTATATTTTATCGTGCTTGAGTTTGTCAAGATTTCGATTGAAAGTCATTGGACTTCATACTGCAAGTCCTATCATTCATCTTTAAGTCATTACTCAAGGCATTAATTTTGTTTCAAGATTAATAGTTATCAAGCCAGGACGATTTTGTGGATTAAATTGCGAAACATGAATCATGGCAGAAGGCGTGAAGTTGTGGATTCGTTGTGACCAAAACATTCTTCCTCTATGAGTTATTTTGGTTAAGGACTGCTTGGATATATTTCTTGATTGATTAAGATGTGGACTAAGGTCACTTGGAATAAGTTGTCTCATTTGCAAGATAATGCGGATCTGTGAACTCAAGTGAAATTTAGATTTATTTTTTAGGCATACAAGATTGGAGGGATCGTTCATGGATAATTTCTCGTGATTCAAGTGACGAAGGCTTATATCATGATCATGCAAGATTGCAAAGCATAGGCCATTTGTTCATAAAATCTTATTCAATATGTTCTCAATGCTCAAGTTTGTCCATTTTTCTATCATTTCAATCCTTTTATTCAAGGGCATTCAAATGTGGTTCAAACTTTATTCATTCCTTAGGCCATTGGTGATGATGATAACTAGTGCAAGTGTCTAAAAGCATTTTATATGCAAAATTGGAAGAACATTCAAAACAAGGAGAATTTTAAACTTGAAGAAAGCATTAGTTAAATTCAAAGTTTTTGGACTTAAAGATACAAGATCAAGGTTTCAAACCATACACCATTATTCATTCAATATTTCAAAGTTCATCATTCTAAAACAAAAATCAAGAATATTCAAGTTCCAAAATACATTGAAGAAAATCACAAGTGCGTAAATCTCTAAGTCCTAAACTGCTTTCATAATCCTCAAGCTTCAAAATCTGTCCAAAATAATTCCAAAAGAATGTCACCTTTACTTGTAAACCATGTCCAAAAAAATCTCTACAAACTTGATTCAAAATAGTGTTGAACATTACAGCCAAAATAGTTCAAAATAGGGTCATCGCCACTTGATTTAATCCCTTGTATCCAAGCTACCTAAAGCATTTCATGAGAAGGCCAAACCGGTTCACAAATTTTTCTGAACCTGCATAAAATCCAAACAGAATCAAAACCCAAATTGGAAACGGTTCATTGGAAAAAATAGATTAGTAAAACAGTTCAGAGAAAAAAACGCCAATTCACACTTTAGCTCTGCAATTTAAAGTCGGAAAATAAAAATAAAAAGCTATTCCAATACAAAACAGAGAGAAAAACTCAGAAATTCTAATATTACAGCTCAGCATATCTCAAACTTCTCTAACAAGTTTCATAACAGAATTTGAGATGAGAGATGAGATTCAATCTCAATCATTCATTGATATTAACATAATTTCAAAAAATCAAAGGCTCGGATGACTTTACCTGTAACAAACTCTTGCAACTATAAATCTGAACTTCTGCTTCAATCTTGAGGATCAGGATTCATTTTCACAAAAAACTGAGAAAAAACTTCACAAACTCTCTGAAACTTCTCCAAACGTCTCTTTGAAGTTTCTATCCAATTGTCAAATATCATCACTGATTCTTCATCTCTCTGCAACAACTCCAATAATCTTCAACCTTCGCCATCTATCATTCATCATATTCACTTCCAATCTTCATCAACCTTCTCCAACGCAACAACAATTTGCACACATATCATTGCATCAAGAAACGCTTCTACTTCAAAAACCTTCGACGAATCTGCGGCATCTCGCATCACGCGCAAGGAATAAGAAATCATGCGGAATCAGAAAAAGAGACGAAGAGAGACGCTTGAGAACGATGGAGCATACCTGAAGATCTCTGGTTTTCTGTTTGATTATGCCTCCATAGAAGAACCACCGGAGTGTATCCGGTCAGTAAGCAATGATTTATTTCGTACTTCCTCCTTCTCTCTTTGTTATCTGTATCGTTACATGTTCTTGTACCGAATCATTATCTGAGTATTAGCTTCACTAGGATTAAGCTTAGGTTGATATTATTGAAACGAACCTGATACGGTGATCTTGAGGTGAATGAAGCATGCGAGGTTGATACGCGAAGATGATCATAGATGAGCTAACAGGAACGACGAATCTAAGATGGAGCCGCTGAGTTTGAAGCGATGGCGTTATTTGAGCGATCGAAGCCACACGAGGAGGTATAACAAATTGGAATAATTGAAGAAGATGAAGTCACGACAGCGCTGCAGAATCGGAACGAAAACCGAGCGAATCGCGTGCAGAGGAGAGAGGTTTATTCGGAAGCGTGAAGCCGAGACGATGAAGCCAGGAGGTGGTCTCATGGAGGTGTTGAGTTGAACAGATCGGAGAAGAAGGGATTGTGGATGAACCGATGTTGATGAAGAGGCAGCCGTGGCGCTGCGAACCTGAGGAAGGGGAGAAGTTAATTTGACACAACTTAACCTTAGCCCTCTTCTATTAAATGTTTTTTTACTAAATAAATTTGAAATAAAAAATAAATAATGCTGAAAATTTGGAAAAGGAATTGGACTAAGGCCATGGTGAGACTGGGCCTCGTTTTGAACCCTCCACCAAGCTCAGCTTGTACCTTTTTTTTATTATCCCATTGCCTTGCAAACAAAAAACTCTTGGATTTACTCTGGACTGGACCGAAGTACACTCTTTTCCTAAACTCGAGCAGTTTTTGGAGCTTATTGTTTTAAACCACAACAAAAATTTCCTGGACTCGATTCTAATGGGCCTAACGCCCATTTCTGAACCACACTCCTGATTCCAAATTTCATACCTCCTATTTTCTCTTTCTTTTATTCTTTCTCTCCCATTTTATTTGTTTTGGTTTTAATTTCTTGATTTTAGGTATTAAAATAATAATAAAAATAATACAAAGTATTATAAAAGAAATACCTTAGGCTTTTTAGGAGAATTTTAGGATTTAATTAGATTTTATTATTTCTTCATGTTCTTAATTTTCTTTTTTTTAATCAAGTTTAAACATCATGTTTTATGTGTTTTTTGTGTGATATTGACCAAGTAAAATGCTTGAGTATTGAGAATTATCTTGCATTGAAATGCCATGCTCCCTTAGGATTCCATGAGACTATTAATCTCCCTTTCGATATTTTTATGTTGATTAGACCTTAGGATATTGATACAAGCAGGATAGCTTTCCCTTTAATTCAACATTCAAATCACTTGAGATTTTCCCCCAATAAAATACTCTAACCCGTTCAAATCATCTTGTGCCTTTTGTGCATTTTTCTCTTTAAAAATCTTCTCCCTCCTTTTCAAAATTCTTCTTGTTTTCTAAACTGGAATTGTTTTCATAATAAAATTGGACTTAGGTCCATACATTTTCGAAAATTATATTTATTAATCAAATTTTAACCAACTTAATCATATTTTTGCATTTTTTTTGTGAGAAGACTAAAAGTCAATCAATCTCATTCAAACCATTTTTGCCATTTTAGCTTTTTTTACCTTTAAAACATTTTCTCAAAAGATTAGACTCTTCTCAATCCTTGTAGTGATGCAAACTACTATACTTCTACAATATTTAGTGAAGAGAGATATTTTCCACTTGGGTGTTGAGTCAGGCATCGCTGATTTTAAAATCCAAGCCATATCCTCCACTTTGAGATGATAAAAATTCTCTTTTCTCATGATTGTGGGTAGTAAGTATGTTTTCCACACGGAGAATGACGGCGATGTCTTATCTCATAAAATTAACCAACACACTTGTGTTTTAAATTTTTTTTTAAAGAAGAACAACGAGTGTTCTGATTCCTCCTGAGATACGTAAGCACTGGATTTAAGATCCGGGCGAACGCAATAATAAAAAAAAATTCTTTTTCCCAAATTGATTCATTCATGCAAATAGCTCTTTTTAATAGCCAACATACACAGACTTACAAAGAGGTTCCTGCGGAGTACCGTAGATGTTTAGAGTGCTAATACCTTCCATTTTCATAACCAACCCCCTTACCTTGAATTCTCCCCCCCCCCCCCCCCCTCTGCCATTTTAGCTTTTTTTTACCTTTAAAACATTTTCTCAAAAGATTAGACTCTTGTCAATCCTTGTAGTGATGCAAACTATTATACTTCTACAATATTTAGTGAAGAGAGATATTTTCCACTTGGGTGTTGAGTCAGGCATCGCTGATTTTAAAATCCAAGTCATATCCTCCACTTTGAGATGATAAAAATTCTCCTTTCTCATGATTGTGGGTAGTAAGTATGTTTTCCACACGGAGAATGACGACGATGTCTTATCTCATAAAATTAACCAACACACTTGTGTTTTAAATTTTTTTTAAAAGAAGAACAACGAGTGTTCTGATTCCTCCTGAGATACGTAAGCACTGGATTGAAGATCCGGGCGAACGCAATAATAAAAAAATTTCTTTTTCCCAAATTGATTCATTCATGCAAATAGCTCTTTTTAATAGCCAACATACACAGACTTACAAAGAGGTTCCTGCAGAGTACCGTAGATGTTTAGAGTGCTAATACCTTCCATTTTCATAACCAAACCCCTTACCTTGAATTCTCCCCCCCCCCCTGCCATTTTAGCTTTTTTTACCTTTAAAACATTTTCTCAAAAGATTAGACTCTTGTCAATCCTTGTAGTGATGCAAACTACTATACTTCTACAATATTTAGTGAAGAGAGATATTTTCCACTTGGGTGTTGAGTCAGGCATCGCTGATTTTAAAATCCAAGTCATATCCTCCACTTTGAGATGATAAAAATTCTCCTTTCTCATGATTGTGGGTAGTAAGTATGTTTTCCACACGGAGAATGACGACGATGTCTTATCTCATAAAATTAATCAACACACTTGTGTTTTAAATTTTTTTTAAAAGAAGAACAACGAGTGTTCTGATTCCTCCTGAGATACGTAAGCACTGGATTGAAGATCCGGGCGAACGCAATAATAAAAAAAATTCTTTTTCCCAAATTGATTCATTCATGCAAATAGCTCTTTTTAATAGCCAACATACACAGACTTACAAAGAGGTTCCTGCGGAGTACCGTAGATGTTTAGAGTGTTAATACCTTCCATTTTCATAACCAACCCCCTTACCTTGAATTCTCCCCCCCCCCCCCCCCCCCTCTTTTGGGTTATTCGCTCTTTTCTCATTCCTTTGGAAACAATAAAGCGCGGTGGTGATTTTTATTTTAATCTGTACAAGTCAATCCAATGGCTTAGTTTTAACATTTCTACCGCTACAGAACCCAATTTAAAACTTGGAGACTTAGAGGCATAATTGGCATTTGACTTCTAAAGCAAAGTTTTAGAGGACATTATTCTTGACATTTGGCTTAAAGAAGTGACCATAAATTTTGAGAATTGAAGAAGTTATGGTATTTGGACCCAAGGGCATACCACACTTGATTTTAGGTCAAACCACCATGCTCCAACTTGTTATTTTTTATGTATTCTTGCATTGCAAAGTAAAATGATGATCATATAAACACCAAATGAAATATCCTTGATAGGTCCTTGATTAATCTTGATGAAACCTTGAGAAAAATGATGAAAAAGACATGGAAATAAACACATGAACCTATCTTGAGTTAACTTGTAAACCAAGCATCAAACTTGAACTTCTTTTGGTCAATTGATATTGAATGAAGCTTGTCATGAATGTGACCTAAAATTATAGGTCATGCCTTGAATAATAAGCCTTGCTAACCACTTTTTGACCTTGACTTTTACTTAGGAGAGCAAAACTCTAATTTTAGAAACCATCTTGATCTTTTGATTCAAAGCCCTATCTTGCAAAATAAGAAAAGGAGCAAAGCATTTTTTTTATATTTTGAATAGGGTTAGTAAAGCATAAAAGCAAGTAAACATAAAGATGAAAGAAAATATAAAGGGTGCTTGGTGATCTCCCATAAAACAAACCTAAAGACCAAAGGGTTAGGAGGTTACCAAGTTTGTGATCTTGATGAAATGTAATGTATGATAAGTGGGATCTTAGGGGTAAAAATTAAGGTATGACATGCTCAAATAAAAATGGATGTCCTTGTTGAACAATCTAACGAGTCTCAATCACGCATGAAGCAAGGCAGGCCAACTAGTTTAAAAGATAAAATTCCTCGAACAAGAAAGGGAGTTAAGAATAAAAAGATGGCTCGAGCGAGGAAATAGAAAATCTAAAAAATCTTCAGATATAGTAAAAAAATTGCTCCAAAAGAGACTGATCGGGTATCTAAAGTTCATGAAAGTAAAGAGATCTCGATAAATTATGTCCATAATTGAATACAATGAAACTGACCCGAAGTCGGCATTGATGATGTTTTTGCTTACAATATAATGCTAAATGTGATATATGAAAAAGAGGATCATGAATCGATGCTTATTAAAAATTATAGACAAAGTGAGAATAGGTCAAAATGGAAATATGCAATTGAAACAGAATTAAACTCACTTTACAAGAGACAAACTTTTGAACCTCTAGTCCGAACACCTCAAGGTGTGAAACATGTTGAATACAAATGGGTTTCCGACGAAAACGAAATAAAAGTAATGAAATTGTGAGATGGAAAGCTCGACTTGCAGCTCAAAATTTTTTGCAAAGACCTGAAATTGGTGTTGATGGGACATATTCACCTGTAATGGATGCAAGTATTTTTCTATATTTAATAAACCTTGTCGAACATGAAGGACTTAATTTGCACATGATGGATGTTGTAACAACTTATTTGTATGGCTCACTTGATAGTGATATTTACATGAAACTCTCTAAAATATTTAATGTACCCGAAGCACATAACTTAGGATTTCGAAAAACCTGCTCCATCAAATTGAAAAGTCTTGCATGAGGTATAATCGTCTCAGTTAGTATTTGTTAAGGGAGGAATACACAAATAACTTCATTTATCCTTGTATTTTTATAAAAAAAAATTGAAAAAGAATTTGCAATAATAGCTATTTACATAGATGACATAAATATTTATTGCAATTGATGAAGAGCTTTCAAAAGCTAGAAATTGTTTGAGAAGAATGATTTGAAAAAGACAACTTATTAAGTGAACATTTTGACAATAGAAATTTTATACACCAAAAGAAACTTGTATAAAAAAAAGTGCTATGATATTTCTATATGGACAAATCTCAAATGTTGTCTCTACCCGATGATGTTATACCATCGAATTTGGATAAGATTCTTTCAAACTTCAATAAGAGGATGAAAAACTAATTAGTCCATAAATACAATATCTTAGTGCATTTCAAACACTAATGTATCTTGCTAAGTATACATTGCCATGATATATCAATTTCTTCCAATTTAAGATATAGTTCTTCACCTACACATAGAAACTTTGACTCGATACAATTTAATGAATTTACAATATTCCACCCAACCCCCTAAATTTCATGACTATCACCAATCCTCTGAAATTATTTCTGATCTAGCAATAGCTGATGCAAGAACTCCATACTAATCGTGAAATAAACTTGTTCTTGGGATGATGGCACAGACAAAAAATTCCCCATAGCATTAATGAATCTTTGACTCAGGGCTTGGTCCCCCTAAAAGCTGAAAGTGAAAAGAATGACCTTGATCCTGGAACATGAACATGGGAAGGAATTAGTGAGGGTCATCACTAGTCAGAAAAGAAAAATGTATAATTTCACTGTATAAAGATCACTAAAATCATATTTGCAACTTAAGTCATAGAGTGAAAGACTGACCTCTTGTGGCTTGACCGGCACCTGAATTACGACCACCTTGCATCTTGTG